TTTCGGTGTCCATCCTAGTTTTATCGATTGTTTTTGCGAAAAAGAGGAGAAATGCCAAATGTAAAAGTAAACAAAAATGTACGCCAGCAAGTAAAAGCGGTTTGTGAAGGTATTTTTAATAAAATGTTAAGTTAAAATATATTTATATTGCTTATTATAGCAGAAAAACGTGATCACGGTGGCACAGAGAAGAAACATAACTTTTCCTTGAGATGTGAGCACAACAAATTTGATGGCTAAAAGTCTGAGATTTGCCTGTGTAAACAGGGTGATTAAAAAACGAGCTTTGATTGAGATAATATTGATATGTGAACATAGTTTTAGTCGTATAATTTTTCCTTGGTCAATTACGTGTTTTTATTTAAATTATTGTGTAAAACATTTTTTAATTTGAACTTTGACCCTTAATAACTTTTGTAATTGTTGTTCCCGCAAAAAAATAAATATACCGTTATACTCACCGCAATTATCTCTATCGATCCCCATATGTTTTTTTTTTTTTTATTTGAGAATCGGAGCTATTCGGCATTTATGACCAAATTTTGCTCAACTTCTGTATATTTGACAGAAATGCAAATCTGAGAAATTACGCACGCAAATTGATTTCGGTTAATCAAATGTGAAAAACTTGCGTGCGTGCGTAGAAAAACTCACGCCGGTAATATTAGGTTGAGCTGTTAGAAACTCAATACACGTCACACATACAGTACATACAAAATTTTACTAAACCCTTCACTATCGCAACATTTTGTGACCCACGTTTCAAAACTCGTTTTTTTTTTCTGACGCCAATAAAGCTAAAAACTGGGTTGTTGATGAACTAATTCGAAATTATAAATCAGTTAGCATGGAGAAACTAGTTGAATCATATGAAAAATGCCGAACTATAGTGAAAGCTTCCATCGAAGATCGAGCTCACGAGGATATTTGGCAATGCTTTGAGGAAATCGCCAACGGCTCTGATGCTGATTCTAGTGTTTCTAGTGATATGGATAGCCAAACGATTGGAAGACAAGGCAGCGAACGTAGAAGAAAAAAGGCAGCGATTTATGAACTAGAAATAGAGAAATATTTGCAGCTACCTCTTATATCCAGACGAGAAGATCCCTTAACTTGGTGGAAGTATAGCCGCTAAGAATTTCCAAATTTGTTTACGCTGGCAATGAAGTATCTCTGCGCGCCACCTTCCTCAGTGAACTCGGAAAGAGTATTTAGTGCATCGGGAAACATTTATGTATGTTGAAAATAGAAATAGGTTGTAGCCCGATAATGCGGAAATGCTTCTTTTCATAATGAAAAATATACAAATTGTTAACTTTGATTACTAATTAAATACTATTAAATTGGATTACAAAAATCCAAAATCTGGGTTAAATTTCTAAATTGAATCTTCTATAATCGATATCCGGAATCCGGCCGGATATTAGCCAGTATCCGGCCGCATAACCAAAAAACGGCCGGATAGGCCGGATTCCGGATATCTACCGGATACCCGGCACATCCCTAGTTGTTACACTGATG